GGGTGCATCCCGGCGCCCTCCCTGTCCGGAAACTTTTCCTCAAATTCCCGGGAATTTGAGGAAAATGGAGTGGGGACCCCAGGAACCCCCCCCCCCCAACCTTGTAATGCCTTGGGAATGAGGGGTTTCCCTTAGGAATCGGGGAGATCCCTTGGGAATGAGGGGAGATCCCTTGGGAATGATGGCCTATCCCTTGGGAATGCGGGCTGTCCCTTGGGAATGCGGGCAGTCCCTTGGGAATGAGGGGAGATCCCTTGGGAATGATGGGCTGTCCCTTGGGAATGAGGGGCTGTCCCGTGGGAATGAGGACATCCCTTGGGAATCAGGGATTTCCCTTGGGAATCAGGGTGTATTTCTTGGGAGTGAGGGGAGATCCCTTTGGAATGCGGGAGATCCCTTGCGAATCAGGGGCTATCCCTTGGGAATCAAGGGAGCTCCGTTGGGAATGAGGCATATCCCTTGGGAATGAGGGGCTGTCCCGTGGGAATCAAGGAAGATTCCCTTGGGAATGAGGCATATCCCTTGGGAATTGGGGAGATCCCCTGGGAATGAGGGTGTATCCCTTGGGAATGAGGGGATATCCCTTGGGAATCAAGCCATATCCCTTGGGAATGAGGAGATATCTCTTGGGAATCAAGCAATATCCCTTGGGAATGGGAGAGATCCCTTGGGAATGGGGGAGATCCCCTGGGAATGAGGGYGTATCCCTTGGGAATGAGAGGATATCCCTTGGCAATGAGGGGGTATCCCTTTGGAATGAGGAGATATCCCTTTGGATTGAGGGCATGTCCCTTGGGAATGAGGGCACGTCTCTTGGGAATCAGGCGCTGTCCCTTGGGAACGAGGATATCCCCTGGGAATTGGGGGAGCTCCCTTGGGAGCTGGGGCTATCCCTTGGGAATCGTGGAAAGCCGGCGGCCGCTCACGCTCCGCCCCGCTCCCTTTGCAGCCGGGGGCTAAAGGCGACCGGAACGCGGGTAAGTGCCGGGAACGCTCCGGATCCCGGAAACCGCCGGGAAGGCTCCGGATCCCGACGCTCCGGAGCGGCCCCATCCCGGTATTCCCGCAGAGGGCCGAGGGCACCGGGAGAAGCTGGAGCTCGTCGCCAACTTCTCCTTCTTCGGCAACGTCATGTCCATGGCCAGCGTGCAGCTGGCGGGCGCCAAGCGCGACGCGCTGCTGCTCAGCTTCAAGGACGCCAAGGTGGG